AGACACACACACACACACACACACACAAAAAAAAAAAAAAAAAAAAAAAAAAAAAAAAAAACCCGTATATTCACCATAGGAAATCGTAACATATATATATAAGTCTAAGAATTAATGATACTTTCAGATTACTTAGAATGTTAATGTAAGAAACAAGTTTATCAAAAAATTTAAATGAAACGATTGTTCAAGTAAAAAACCTAAAAAATTAATTTTGATATATTACTGGGAAAAGGTTGAAAGCTATATTGGACATGCACAAATCAACGTGGAAATTATTAGTTTTTTGTTTTAAAACAATTTTATTTTACATATCATTTTAATCGAATTAGACTATGGTGTTATTTGCAAGAAAAAAATTATTTATTTATTTTTTAAGTTGTAAGTTGTCAAAGAAACTGAAATTTAAATAAAGTGAAAAATTTTAAATTTAAAAGACTTTTCCGATGATTTTAGTTTTTCACTATTGAAATTTAATCCATACATCCACCATAAAATAAATTTTTTTAAATATTCATTCCATATTTTTTAAATCATCACACATGGTTATTTCTTAGCAACGCATCAAGTTGATCTTATCGAGTAAAAAACTCATCGTTCAAACTTCAAACCCTCTTTCCTTATAAAATTATTAAGCGCAAGACATGTAATAATAATGTTTGTTTATGTAACCAACATAAATGGGGCCATTATCTTCCACATAACGAATCATGTTTTCAAGACACCAAAAAAACACCTTCAATGACATTCCAAAGTTTTTTATGTGTGGTAAAAAAAATATTGTTCAATGCATGTCCACAACGAAAATCTTCAAAACAATCCCTCACATTGCAACAACATCATTACAAAGTTAATATTTATATGTAAAGTTAATCAAATAATTAATGTTTAAAACAACCTCGAAATATAAATTTAAAAAAAAAATACTTGGTGGTGGAAACAAGAATGATCCATCTGGATTAACTGATGTTTCTAATAATATTCTAAAATCATGTGTAACGTTTTCCCAACTGGCTACAATAAAGGTAAAAATCATATTGAAGTCACAAATTACCAATACATTTTGATAACAATCACATTTTCTCCTTCATTTAGGTAAATTTTGTTTGTTAGCGGGGACAATAATATGCATCAAAGTTCTATTAAGTGCATCAATCGCTCCGTTAAAAACCTATTGTAGCCTCTTATTATATCCGGAATGTTTGGATTCAGATTAAAAAAAGTTGGTACTATCATATCTTTTGTGAATATCATCATTCTATCCAAAACTTCAGAACAAAATTGTCCATTATTGTTTCACATTCAACGTTATGAGTATCAAGCATAGACTTCAATACTCAAAACAAAAAAATCATAATTTTTTATGAAGTCTTGGATAGAATGATGATTTTGCAAAAGATATGATTGTCTTTTAATCTGAATTCAAACATTTTGAGACGTAATAAAAGGCTACAATGAGTTTTTAATTGAAAGGTTGGTGCACTTGATGTGACGTTGATACATGTTATAACCTAGAGAAAGGAAAAAAAATATGATTGTTATCAAAATGTATTAGCAATTTACGACGTCAACAAGATTTTTATGTTTGGTGCAGAAGACTAAGAATAAGTAACACATGATAAATATTTTCTTTGTGAGCCGGGGCATTAACTTTTTTTTAGATAGACTATTTTGGATAACTATTTTTTTTCTTGTGATTTTACTTTATTTAATTTTTAAAAAATTTGTAATGTCGTTTCTTATAAGTTGTTGGTCCGTAAATATTTATGTATTCTAATAAAAAATAATAATGCTAAATATCTTATAAATTTTAAAATAACTTTAATAAATTAATAGTTATTATAAATAATCAATGTAGTCTTAATAAAATATAATTAAATTATAAAGTATTAACTTTTAGTATTAAATACATGTATAAATCTGATCCATAACCTTTCTTGTATAAAAGTACTTGTTATGTACTATAAGTTGTACTAAGATACTCATATACTTGTTATACTTTCGTTATTTTTGTGATTTAACTACTATATTTTATCTTGGATAATTAAAGCCACTTGATTTTAAAAGAAAATTCAATTGCACCCACTTTGGTTTGGTTTACGGGTTTAGCAGGTGTTAAAAATTACATGGTTTGTCATTAACCTACATGACATTATATCTACTTGCTAAAATATGATCTAACTTTCCGAAATGACTTCTCATTTACCTACATGGTATGTAGACATGCACACAAAAACTGGTTTGGGCTATAGGATCCGATCCGATCCGAAAACCGGATTTGGTCAAAACCGGTTTTGACCGAACCGGATCGGATTGAACCGGCCACCGGATTGAAACCGGATCGGGACTTCGGATGGCAATCGGATTAGACCCCCGGATCGAGAACCGGATTATGACCGAACCGGATCCAAAACCGGTTTGAAACCGGATTTTTTTGTTACCGTTAAAAAACGGGAAATTTCGATTTTTTTTTTTTTTTTTAACTAGCCGTTAGAACTTTAAAAAAACGGCTACTTTGACTTTTTTTGACTTTTTGGCACTTCTAAACACCTATATATACCTTTCATTTGCTACATTTCAATTTTACACAAAAAATTTACTACTTATTCTCATAATACTCAAAAAAATGAGCTCGAGAAATTCAACCGCGGGTCAAGATTCGGATGCAACGGTGGTTAAAATCATACCAACTACTCGGAGTAAAGAAGTGTGAGAACATTACGATTTGTGTTTGTTGTCGAACGGGAAGGAAAAAGCGAGATGCAAGAAGTGCGGAATGTTTTTGGGAAAAGATGGCAATAGCACGTTAAGGAGTCATACAACAAAAACTTGTCCGGCTGTAAAAGGTCAAAGCGATCCAAGTCAACCAAATATTACTCCCGACGGGTCGATCATCATTTACAACAATGATGACCTTCGTGAAAGCTTTTGCAAGTTCGTGATTTGCACAAAGATAACTCAAACTACATCCGTAACCAAATAAACATTTTTAATGATACTTTTACTAATTTGTTTGACATTTACGCTACAAAATATGACAATATGTCAAACACTTTTGCAAGTGTAACCGACTCTACTAGCGGTGCATCGGGTAGTGGTGGGGGTCGAACGGATTTTCATATCGACCTCTATAACTACCTTTTGGAGGAGCAAAACAAAAGAGCACGCATATTAACGCCTAGTAGCGAACTTGGAATTTATATGGGTTCAAACTTTTTAAAATTCATGAGTGCACCACAATTTAAAATTTTCGATCTTTTGGCTTGGTGGAGAGAAAAGGAAGCACAATTTCCTATTCTCTCCGTCATGGCCCGTGATTTACTAACCGTCCAAGCTTCCACGGTAGCTTCGGAATCCGCTTTTTCTTTTAGTGGAAGAGTTTTATCAAAGTTGAGGACGAATCTTACCCCGGTTGCGGTAGAGGTTTGCGTTTGCTTGAAGGATTACTTGGATTTTGTGGAACGTATACAACACTTGGCATCACTAGAAGGCCCACTATCACAAAATGTTGAACCGGAGATCATGGATGAAGAATATGCACAAGGCTTATCAACACCTCCGGAAGACGAAGACGATGACGATGAAGTCGAAGATGAAGATGGGGATGAAGAATATGGCATTGATGAGACCTCTAGTTACTTGCGTGGCGGTTGAAGAATAATTAAATGAAGGCGACACGAAGTGGAAGACCACAAAAACTATTTCCATTTGGCTAAATGTTATAACGCCACTTTATTATTATTATTATTATTTAACTAGTTTAAAAACTCTTTCTAATTCGACGTTTGATGTATGTTTTAACTATTTTAATGTACCCATGTTGCATTTTGTGTTATATTTGAAGTCCAAAAAATGTGTATTTTAAAAAAAAAAAAATAGAGAAAATCGGATCGGATTTCGGATCGGATCGGATTACACCGAATCGGATGCGGGGCTCGGAAAACCGGTCAAATCCAGTCAAAACCGGTTCGGATTAAATGCTGAATCGGATTGGGCGTGTCATAATCAAACCAGATCGGATCGGGTCTTTGTGCATGTATAATGGTATGTGTAGAACCTTCTTAAGCCAAATCCAACCATCCACCATATTACAACATTTTTTGTATTTTAAAGGGCAAAAATACTCTAACCAACCTTCAAATTTAACATCATTTTTATGTCAGCTTCATTTTAACACCAAATATAAATATCAAATGTAAATGCCTCTAAAGGGGTGTTTAGGGTTGCTTTTTAGGCTAAAAAGTTCTTTTATACAAAAGATCTTTTTGATTTTTGGCTTTATATAAAAAATGGTTTTAAAATGTATTTGGTTTATTTTTGAAAAGTTAAAGGCTAAAATCCTAAAAATCACAAAAAGTCACTAATATATGACTTTTGAACAACCCATTTTTGTTCTTGCCAAAAATCACAAAAAATTGATCTAAAAATGACTTCTTAAATTACCAAACATCTTTTTTACTTTTAGCTTTTCCAAAAATGACTTTTTGCCAAAACCCACAATTTTAAAGGCTGATTGAAATTTAACCACTATTTTGGTGCTAAAAAATCACCATTTTAGTGTTTATGATTGAAGAATCTCGTAGAAAACGACGTTTTATAGAGTATAGATGATGCAATGTATATAAATAAAAAGGCATGTTAATTTTAACACCTATTAAACTATAAATAATGGGTCATAGACTCATAAATTTCTTTAAAAATGTAGGGCTTTCATTCACCAAAATAAAACATAATGATTAAACCGTTAAAACAGACAAAACATATTGGCTTTTATGAATAATTATATTTTATAAAAATATGAATGACTGCTTTTATTACATAAATAAATGAACATTATAAACATCCAAACCCATGAACAAAAACATTTCAAAATGAATATGAACCTTCAAAAAAAATCCCCAAAAATAACCAATCTATAATACAATTTGAGGGTGGGAGATGCCTTCACAAGTTTCTTTACCAATGGCTTCCTTTCTTTCCTTCATGTGATCAATTCGACCTCACAACACTCTCTTGATTCTTTCCATAACCAATGGAATCTCTTTTTCTTCCAAATTTGTAAAACAAAACCTAAACCACCCTGGTTCTACACAATGACAAGATGATCCAGGGGTAGAATTGACTTTTCCCACATTCAACAACTTTTCCCACAATTCAAGCTCACCTTTTTCACTATAAGGCCTTATAAAACCACTCAAATCCGCCCAACAATAAAACCCTCCACCACTTTTCATACACTCAATTCCCAAACTCTTCAAACCACCCACAAAAAGATCACTCATTTTCTCAACTCTCTCTCTATTAATCTTTATAAACCCTTCAACAAATCTTGAATCATTAAGCATTGAAACAAGCATTCTTTGGTTCAAAGATGACACAGATGAAAATCTTGTCAATTTCTTCGATGCCTCCAACACGTTTTTATCGAACGAATAAACAACCCCGACTCGTAAACCAGGGGCAGAAAGGTCTTTTGACAACCCGTAAACAATATGAACTCTGTTTCTATCATACTCTTCAGAATTGACAATTTCAGCCATGCTGACAAATTCTTGATTCTTGTCACCATTTGAGCCTGAAAGTGCCTCGTTGGAGATGATGTGGATGTTTTTTTCAGTTGCAAAGTTTAAAAGATTGTAAAGGGTATCTCGGGTATGAAAAATGCCAGCTGGATTTGAAGGATTTGAAATTATGACACCTTGGATTTTGATGCCACGTTTTTTTGCTTGGTTGTATGCTCGATGAAGGGCAGTTGTATGTAAACTAAAATTGTCTGAACTACGACATGGCACAGGTATAATTTCAACCCCAGTTCTCCATTTTATGTCCCTATCAAGCCTGCAATTTTTTTTATTATAAATTCATTACACATTTTGTATAAATATATTATTATAAAGCATACTTCTTGAAACTTAGATGAGTTCATATGACATTATGAAGTTCAAAAGCTGTATGTTTGACCTCAAAAGTCAACATGTGTGACATTCTTGAAACAATGTACAGAAATCAAGATTTATGGAAGAGGGACTTACTCGGGGAAATATGGAGAGGGGACAAGAAATGCATTTCCAGGGTCAGCAAGGCAAAAAGCAAGCATCTCAAGAGCAGGTGTTGTTCCAGCTGTTAAAACTATCTGTGATGGGTTGAATGACACGTGTCCTTCCATAACTTGAGACATAAAGCTTGCAACTGTCTGTTACAAAAAAAGATGAGCAGATGAAGCATTTAATTCCATGATTGTAGATTACATAAATTGGCATGTGAAAAAGATAACACCTTGCTTCAAGATGGGATTAATATAAAATTAAGTGGCACAATGACCAAAATCAAATCTAATTACAGTAAGAAATAGAAAGAATTTAGATGGAAATTACCAGTTTGAGTTCTGATGATCCATGGAAAGGATGATAAGTACTGATTCTGTCCATTTGTAACTCTTGGCCAATCATCGAACACTTGGTATGCGTCACTAGCCAGTCTTGAATCAAATCCAGGGATAACTATAAACTCGTAAACCCAAGGTGAACTTGATTATTAAAGCAGCATATACATCAATATGAACCAATCATTGTCTACTTAATCACAATATTTTCAGATTAATTATCATTACGAATGCACAATTGAGCTCATATTAGCAATAATTGTATAAGATTACGAGAAGCTTACCTTGTTTTCATCCAATCCGAGTTGAATAATCCCCTCTGGATTACTCGACTCATCATACAGATTATCAAAAGCCCTCTTTAATCCAACATAGTACGGAGAATCAGGATGTTTGATGACAGAATTGGCCCTCGTAGAAACCTGAACTTGACCGTTTGTACCACGTGGGGACCAAATCGACCTTACTGAATGAACCCTTTGCAGGCCACCAGGAGGAGGAGGAGGAGGAGGAGTCTCGGGCAGTTGCGGCGGTGGTGAGGGGTTGGGGACGTCGTCGGAAGGATTTTTGGCCTTTAGATAGAGTTGTAAGAAGTAGAAGAGAGCGCAGGGGATGATTGAGCCTAGCACCAAGCCACCTCCGCCTTGAACTACACCTTGTAAGGGTACTATGACCCTCATGTCCGTCGTAACTCCGGTGGCGCCAGTTGTGGTTTCGTGTAGATTATCGACGGAATTTCGGGATTTTTGTTTCATCGTCCGAGCATGGTTGTGGACGGAGTGTACAAAGAGATTACCGGAGAATGGCAAGGAGTTGGCCAGCCAGTTGGGTGGCGTTCTCTCTCTCTCTCTCTCTCTCTCTCTCTCTCTCTCTCTCTCTATTGTTTATACATGTGTGTGTGTGTGTGAATTTCGATGAATTTGGCGACTAGGGGGGAAATGAAAAATCAAATAAAAAACTTGTTTTATTTAATATGACTAAAATATTTTATTTTAAAATATAGTGATAATCTCACAAACCATTATATTTTGGGATGTTTACTCACAAGTCATTATCTAATAATCGTTTTTCGCAAAAAGCATTTATGTTATCAAATTATTGATTTAGTTTGTTTTAACAAAAAATAACATTATATTATATAGGTACGAAAAATGGGTTTCTCACCTTTATTTTGCTTTAGTCAAATATAGCTTATAGATTGGTTTTTTAAAATATTTCTTATAATTTGATTAATCAATATAGATTATTTTCCTAAACTTTATTTTATTATTGGTTACATACAAATTAGAGGCATGCTATCCGTGCTATGTTTGTTTTAGTGTATAATGTGTTAAAAAAGGGTATATAAACCATTAACAGATTAAGAACTGTGATAATGATATTGTTTTTTTTTTAGCTTTTTCAACGTTAATACCTTTATAAAATAATAAATAATAATAAACCTTATACCTTTCATTATAAAACCAATAAACCAGAAAGATAGATTATTTTGTGAAAGAATTTTTGGATCTATCAAAATTGAAATTTGTGTTTGTGGAAATTATTGAGTAATGGGCAATGAAAATGAAACAAATTCAATTGTAACAAATTGTGAATGGCTATTTTATATTTTTTATATCACACACATATCAATTGCCGCATACAAAATACAATGATGGAGTCGCGGTATATTATATTATTATAATATAGTTCTAGACTTTTTTTTTTTTAATATTTGCAAAGTATTTAGTGTAAAATCCAAGTAATTTTATCGCGAGAAAGTTAAAATAATAGTCGCAGTAGTTAACAAATATAAGATTATTACGTTTTCATGACTTATTTAAATTGCATATAACCCTCTAATAAATACTTTATATTTTCACAACGATTGAGTTACAATCAAGTTAGATAATATAGATAAATAATCAATAATAGTTACAGCGACTGCCACTATCTTGTCAATTTGTTATTCTTTTCATCTTTTGGTATTACATTGATATTTTATAGATTTTAGTGATATTAAATTTTGGATGAAAATAATATAACTGATAGTCGGATATTAACTGAATTCAATAAATTAGCAAATTGTAATCTTAGATATATATATATATATACTAACTGAAGTCAATAGGTAAATGATTGATTGGTTAGGATTTTGGGTTGGCTCATCTTCACCAAGCACTACCAATCACAAATTATTCTAAGTTCCACAGAATCCAAGCAACCTACATACAACCTTCCAAATATGCATGGGTCCTCTCTAATGTTTTGGAATCTTTCTTGATTTTACGTATATTTGATTAAATTATTAAGAATGAAAGTAAATCAATCGAAATCAACGATAGTAACAATAACAATAATAATAACAATAACAATAATAACAACAATAAATCTAAAAATCTAATTGCAATACTTATTGTTGGTATTTGTTGAGATAATTGATACTTGAAGAAACAATGAGAAGTGGCATACAAAACATAATCAATTATATGTAATTTTTTTTCAAGAACGAATCTAATTTACTCATAAATCCACCTTATGCTCCATAAAGGACTTAAACCTTCGACCTTAAATCTTTAAAATAAAAAACAGCACCTAATATCATTAGGCTAAAAACATTTTGATACTTATACCTAACATTTTATAATTCAATCGCTAAATTGTTAGAATTTATTTTACTAAGATGGATCTTTACAATATTATAAGAATTATTGAGATTCATGATTCTTGAAAGTTGTCAAATAGTGACAAATGGATGTTTTACCCTTTCAATGTCAACCACATGCAATCAAAAGGACATCCCCACATCATCAAACTCTAATGTTTTTTGGAGCTCACACTTGTTATCCTATCTTAACATACAATCATTAAACTGCATCATTATCCTATATTTACATACAATCACTAAATTACATCATTATATATAAATATTTGGAAAAATAACCAAAATAACACCAATTTTAAGACATTTTCCAAAGCGATCATATTGTCCAAAAATATAGCAGTTCAGATAGGATTTCAGACTAGTTATGTGTCTCATCAAATTGTATTTACCTATTGAGGAAGACCAATCGTGGGCACTTATTCACAAGAAAATTGGTGATGCCCTCTCGTTCACAAAATTGGTAATGCCTTTTTCGTTCAAATGATTCAAGCTCCCAAACTTAAGCTCGTGGACAAAAAAATCATTCGTTTCTGGATGTGATTGTAGTATAAAGCTAATTTTCAGTTTCTACTGTAATAAAAAGCATTATTGTGGTTGTCCATATTTTCCAAACAAAAAGCAATATTGTAGATATTTTAAGCGGTATGATGAAGACCTATCTGATAATCTCAGTACAAGGAGAGTTTTAACGAAATACGAAAGCAGTTGACCAAGACAATTGAACGGTATCTTACTGAATCACTGTGTAAACACCAATAGAAGAAAATAACAATAGTTTGGTAAATCTGAATATGATTCTGATTTTTGTGTGTGAGTAGTTTCATGGGTGTTTGTGATTTGGTTTTTGGTTTTTGGTTTTTTCTTTTTTAAACTTTATTGTGTAGAAAAAAAATCCCATTTAAAATAGAGTTTTTATTGTTTCTGAGTTTTCATTATATTTCAAAACTCTCTCTCTCTCTCTCTCTCTCTATATATATATATATATATATATATATATATATACTAGCCGTTTACCCGCGCAAAGCGACGGGTGCGGATCAACAAAATGACATAAAAAATTTGTTAAACAAAATGACGAACAGATAGATATTTCTTATACCTGGGCTAGGATTAAACGTAAGACATTTTGGGGATTATTCGATTTAAATAGAAAGAAAAACAAAGGAGTAGGTAGCGAGCATGAGAGGGACCCAAGGTTTTGCGGTCAATGACAATGCATTCATGATAGACGAATGCTAGATCAATGCGTCTCTTCCAGTTTATATGAAATGTTTTATAACGTGTATATCGTATTAGACCGATTCAAATGGATATGAAGAACACTTAGTCAAACTTTGACTCATTTAAAATCTTATCATCATCTTGTTTGACTTTTTCATTATTATTGACAGATTCAGTATTTAGCGATTCAATTTGATATGAGGAACACTTGGTCAAAGTTTGAGCCATTCAAAATCTTATCATCATCATCTTATTTGTCTTTTTCATAAATGTTGACCGGATAAGATTTAGTATTTACCGATTCAATTGTATATGAGGAACACTTGGTCAAACTTTGACCCATTCAAAATATTATCATCATCATCTTATTTGACTTTTTCATAAATGTTGACCGGATAAGATTTAGTATTTACCGATTCAATTGGATATAAGGAACACTTGGTCAAACTTTGACTCATTCAAAATCTTATCATCATCATCTTATTTGACTCTTTCATATTTAACCCATTCAATTTGAAGATAAGCTTAGAAGACCTATTCAAAATCTGTTTTTGATCGGATAAGATTTATTATTCTCCGATGCATAAAATTATTGTATATGATGCTTAAAAGCTTGTACCTCTTAAAATTCAGCAAAATCTTGTAAATGTTTTTTAAGGTATATATATATATATATATATATATATATATATATATATATATATATATATATATATATATATATATATATATATATATATATATATATTCTTAATTGTAGAAAACTTGTGTTTTTTATCTATCAATGTTAAACAAACTCTTTTATATTCTGAAAAAGACTGTAAATTTTTTTTAAATTACACCATCCGAGGTGTAGTAAATTCTGTTGAGCAAATTTGAACTATTTTAATATGTTTGACTAAAATTCGAAAAAGGAATTTATTATTTTTAGCTATATTTGTGTGGTTACTTTTAACTAATTTATTATACAATAATAGAAGTTGTGAATATAATATGCACAAGTTATCTAACAATAAATGTAATCTAACTAGCTTTATAGATCCATTAAGCATACACGTACTTAAACCTAATTCCAAAAATGTCTAATTAAAGAAAGTGGTCCTCTCCTCGCTACCAAGTAGATTAACATTCAACTATCTAGTACTCTTAAACTAGAAGTTGATGGTCATGGTATGAGTACAATGTATGGCGCATGAATTACAAGTAAACAAACCCATTTATTTGCTGAATACTTATATTCATTATTATATCAAAATAAACATTTAAAAACCTGAACTGTTTTACCAATCATATAGGCCAACGTAAAACCTATGTTCTCAAAACATCAAAAAATACATTATTAGAAACTATTTTTCAATGTGAACAAGTATATTTAAATCTAGATATTGCATCGTTATCGGCATTAGTTATGGATATTGATAGTTAGGCACGACTATTCAGTTTCACAAAAAGTTTAGTAAACCTAAACAAGTTGAGTGTGCCTAATATGACTCGAGTTAATCGGTTCAACCAACATAAATAACAATACTTGAATAAGCCTAGCCTACCAAAAATGTTAAGCTTCTTATGTGGTGTTATATCATAATATCATTTGATCCCTCTAATGTCAAGAAAATCATCAATGAGTCTTGCTATTTTTTTAACAGCTAAATGTTCGTCTTTATAAAAAAAATGAACTAAAACTAGCAAGAAGTTAACAACATATTATAACACATTCAAAAGGTTTTGGAACCAAGTACACCCATTGAATATTAGCTTACGGTTCCTCTTAGTAAACCAAAAAAACAAGTAATCAACAATGAAAAAAAAAAAAAAAAACTTCCACCAGTTCAGAGTGTTATTGTTGAAAACAGTATCATTCCTGAAACGCCAGTGTCCAACAAGTCGTTATGACAAGAACTTAAACCGCATCCTTCTTGATCAAATACATATTAGACAAATCCAACCAAATCATCATGTACAAACTACAATAACTAAGATAGTGCATTCTAACTCCTTGCAAAAATCTCACACTCACCAAATAAATGCAATAAAGATTCATTCTTTAACGAACATGAAAGGCAAAGAGCCGAAGGGACGTAAATACCGTTAGTTAGTGTCAGCCTATCTAAGCAAAGGTGCCAAAAAAGAT